TGCACCCACTCATTTAAATGCTTCATCGAACAGTTCCTTGCTAATGATCTTTGAGTAAAAACAAATCCGTGGCAAGTTTCACACTGAATCGAGCAAAACGAATTTTTCACCCTTTTGTTTGAAACTAAAAATTCCAAACATTCAAAAAGTAAAACGGATGAAAGGCTGCAAATCGTAAATGTGAGAAAGATCAAGCAAAGTTTTACATGTCCATCCTATTGCCCGTGCTGAAGGAGGAAGGCTTTCATGCGTTTTTTGCATCTATGCAATGCAGAAAATGCATATTGACGAGGGGATGTCTATGTGTGTTTGTATGTGCTTCTGTACCGACTTTTCAACTCAAGACCTCTACAAGTTACAGGGCTAACACTTTGGGAACTTAATCTACATGCACGTAAGGGCACAAATCCCCAAATGGACGATCTTACCCGCGTGACACCCATGTACGGGCCCGCCAAAGTTTTTGACAGGGGAGCTGCTAACTCGAGAACCAGAAAAGCTAGAAAGCTGAAATTTTAAGGGGGCGTCCCCCATCCAAGTATGTATCAATAAGTTCAAAACCAGCCCCCGAGTATGAGTGGTTCCCACGTACGGGCCCGTAAAAGCTTTTTGTGGGTAAGTTACTAACTCGGGAGCCAGGAAAGCTAGAAAGCTGAAATTTTAAAGGGATGTTTCTTGGCAGTGCTGGCATTCAGTCTCAATCCTTATAGCTAAAAGCATCTGCCTGAAAAAACGGTGCCTTTAGCGACAAAAATCCACGAGGAACTATGCAAAAAACGCCCCTTCGCACCGGTAGTGGGTGTGATGGCCGTTTATTTAACCTCTTCTAGCCATTATACGCAGGTTATTAAGTTTTAGACAAATTTAATTCTTGAGAGGACTAATTCCAAAAGTAGCTAGAAAAGCTCTAGTTAATCGCTTCCGAAAAGAATGCAAAATTAACAAGGAACCTGGAAGACACATTCCCATTTGCTGCTGTTGAACAGGCGTCCGAGCTCCACCCGGCGACAACAGAGCAGAATCACGCATCGTTACTGCAAGGTATAAGAGACTCAAATCTCATACTGTCGCAGTTCATTAAAACATCAAAAGAAGTATTACAACGATACTCCCAAAAGGCTTTTTTTGCCATTTTCTTGTAGACAGAACGCCCAGACGATAAAAAAAAAAAAAATTAACTTTCGACGACTTAGCAGTAGCTTTCAAGAATAGAGTGATTTCAGATTTCACTATTAGAAGTCAAAAAATGTCCATACTTTTCCAAATGTTAATATTAAAGCATACTGGGCCACGTCAGGAAAGATTTCTGAATAAAGTCAGGCCCGAAAAAGACACAAACTCTGACCTCACAATGGTTTTATGCGCTTTTTTTTTACTTATGCAGTGAAAAAAAACCAAATATTATAGATTGTGTGTGTGTTTGTGCGTGTGTGTGTGTGTGTGTGTGTGTGTGTGTGTTCAGCTCGCCAACCACGCAAGCTTTGAAGCTGAAATTTTGCTAGTGTGTTCCCCAGCCAAGTGCCACCTCAAGAACGCACTATCAACTCTCATGCACGTCTGGGCCTCGCGTACGAGCACATGAAAGTTTTGACGCGAAAATTGCTAACTCGGGAACGAGAAAAGCTAGAAAGCTGAAACCTTGGGGGAATGTTCCCTACCCGTTTACGACAAAAAGGTTTCAAATTCAGCTGCCCAGGTGTACCCAGGGCTTACGTATGGGCACGTGAAAATTATGGCGAGAAAATTCATAACTTGAAGATGAGAGAAGCTAGAAAGTTGAAACTTTGGGGGAATATTCTCTACCCATGTACGACCAAAAGTTTTCAAACTCAGCTCCTTAAGACCGCCTGGGGCTCACGTATGAGCGCATGAAAATTTTTGGTGCGAAAATTACTAGCCCGGGAACGGGAAAAGCTGGAAAGCTGAAACTTTAAGGGAATGTTCCCTACTAATACACAAAAAAATCAGGTGGTTAAAAGCGCCCGAGCCCACATACGAGCGCGTGGAAATTTTGGCGCGAAAATTTCTATCCCGGGAACGGGAAAAGCTAGAAAGCTAGAACTTTAAAAGAATGTCCCTTATTCATCTACGAGCAAAATCAGGTGATTAAAAGCGCCCGGGGCCTACGTATATGCAAGTGAAAATTTGGCGCGAAAATCACTAAGCCGGGAACGAAAAAAGCTAGAAAGCTGAAACCTTAGGGTAGTGTTCCCTACTCTTTAAAACCATCCGGTCTCATGTACGGACACGTAAAAATTTTGATGGGAAAACTGCTAACTCGGGAACGGGAAAAGCTGAAGGCTTT